TGCCTTCTCTGCCCGTGCACCTGTCAAGGAAAGCCTGGGTAACCTGTGTGAAGGGTTCTGCCTTGGGATTATTCTGGGATATCTGCACCAGAAGAATCCCTTTCCATTCCACGTTCTGTTGAAAGGTAGATATAATCTCTAGAAAACCCTGCTTTTTTTGTGATTGGGTTGACATATCAAGTGTCCCTTGGTGCTCTTATTTGTGTCTCAGCTCCATAGAGTTCTTCTAATGGAAAAGTCAAGAAACATTCTTTCTAATAGCTTTCTGCAACACACTCTCACTCTCCTAGATGCTGAAACAGAACTTAAAAAATTATTGCCTGTTCCCCTAGAGTGAATAGCCTTGTCAGTCCTGGATAGCTGGGCAGCAAGGGCCAGTTTTATTCTAAAATTACCCATTCTCACCAAGGGAGACAGCTGCCCCTTCCCCACAACCCCCACCTAAAAGCAAATAACAACAACAACAACACAGCAAGCAGCTACATTTCTGTAAAATTCTTCCCCAGGACTCAATTTTTGCCTAAAAACCTGGTTGAAACAAAACCTTGAAGAGAGGGGACAGTGATGAAAAAGCATTTTTCATCATAATTAGGTCAAGGAGATACTTCCTATGTTTTGAAAATATTCCCAGAAACCTAAGATTATTATGTAATAAAAGATGTTTAAAGATGAAAGCAAGGAACAGTACTGTGAGCAGGATGCTGAGTAAGCTCTTTAGTCTGATTTTGAAACTGCTTGGACACTTTCCTTGGACGGTAGCATGCTGGGAGCCAGACTGAATAATAATGAAAAGAGGATTCAGCACAATCAGGCCTTTGATTTCTGCACCCCTGCTTTCCAAGGAGCAAGTCAGTCATTAAAGTAACCAAAAACAAATAAAAAACAAACTAACAAACAAATCTCCCTCCTTCTGGAGGTTGTTGAGTTTGGAAATCACTCGCATACGTCCTTTAAGAACCTAAGAGTACTCTTTATTGATTATGCTATTATAGTTGTCCCATTTTTTCCCCTTTTGCACCCCTCCACCCAGCACCCCCCTATATCCTCCAGTGAAACCTTCTCCTTTGTCCATGAGCCATGCATATAATTTCTTTGGCAACTCCATTTCCTATACTTGCTTTTAACATCTCCCTGCCTATTCTGTAACTACCAATTTGTACTTAATCCCTTCACTTTTCCCTCATTTCCCCAGGCCCCCATCCCCACTGACCACCATCCCAATGTTCTCCATATCCATGATTCTGTTTCTGTTCTGCTTGTTTGCTTACTTTGTTTTATAGATTAAGTTGTTAATAGATATGTATTTATTGCCATTTTAATGTTCATACTTTTGATCTTCTTTTTCTTAATTAAGCACCTTCAACATTTCATATAACAATGGTTTGGTAATAATGAACTCCTTTAGTTTTTTTTTTCTTGTCTGGGAAGCTCTTCATCTGCCCTTCAATTTTAAATGATGGCTTTGCTAGATAGAGTAATCTAGGTTATAGGTCCTTGCTTTTTATCATTTTGAATACCTTCTGTCAATCCCTTCTATCCTGCAGTTTCTTTTGAGAAATGAATTGACAGTCTTATGGGGATGCCACTGTAGGTAACTAACTGCTTGTCTCTTGCTGCGTTTGAGATCCTCTCTTTATCTTTAACCTTTGGCATTTTAATTGTGATGTGCCTTGAAGTGGGCCTCTTTGCATCCATCTTGTTTGGGACTCTGTGCTTCCTGGACTTGCATGTCTATTTTCTTCACCAAATTAGGGATGTTTTCTTTCATTATGTCTTCAAATATGTTTTAAATTTCTTGCTTTCTCTCCTCCTTCCAGCACCACCATGGTGGGAATGTTGGTATTCTTGAAGTTGTCCTAGAGGTTCCTTACACTATGCTCATTTTTTAATTCTTTTTTTTCCTGTTGTTCCGATTGGTTGTCTTTTGCTTTCTTATGTTCCAAATCATTGATTTGATTCTTGGCATCATTCACCCCACTATCGTTTCCCTGTAAATTCTTCTTTAACTTAATTAGTGAACACTTTGTTTCTGACTGAATCTTTTTTATGCTGTTGAGGTCCTCACTAATTCCTTGAACATCCTCATATCCAACGTTTTAAACTCTGCATCTGATAGATTGCTTATCTCCATTTTGTTTAGTTCATTTTCTGGAGTTTTAATCAGTTCTTTTATTTGGGCCATGTTTCTTTGTCTTCTCACTTTAGCAGCCTCCCTATGTTTGTTTCTATATATTAGGTCAAGCTGCTATGACTGCCTATCTTGGCAGTGTGGCCTAATGTATTAGGTGTCCTGTAGGGTCCAGTGGCACAGCCTTTCCTATCACCCAAACTGGGTACCTGAGGTGTGCCCTTTGTGTGGGCTGAGTAAATCCTCCTCTTGCAGTTGAGCCTTGATTGATATTGGCAGATCAATGGAAACAATTTACCCAGGCCAGTCAGCTGCAGAGATTGGCTGTGATCACTGATCACCATCCTCCACCCTCCATGGAGGATCAGCTGTGCAGGGGCAGGGTGGTGGTGCTCTGACAAGGTCTGTAGCTGTCCACTGGGTGCACTGGCCTTGGGGTTTCCTGGGTGGTCAAGGCCAAGTTCAGCTCCCACCTGTATTTTGCCTGGGGCTATCCTGTTTGGGCTATAAAGGAGTCTGATATGGCTGCTACTTATGCTTGGCTTAGAGATGCCCAGGCTAAACAAGACTGTGTATCTAGGCTGGCTGGTGCTAGTGCTAGGCCTAAGGCCACTTGACAAGAGGTATGGAGACTAGGGACCCACTAAGGCCAGTTGTTGCTTGTTTGGGAGGATTTAGGAAGTTGTGAAACATGAGCCAAGACCCGCAATTCATAAGGAAAAGCCTCTGTTAACAGCTTCAGTGTGCCCATAATTTGGGTGGGATGGAGACTTAGGGGATCTAAATGGTAATAGCCAGGTTGACGGAGCCTCAGATATGGCACCTGACTGCTGGCAATGTGGCCCTTTGGGGGGGGGGAGGGCTCAGAAAAGGAACAGTGGCCTCTGCCTGCCTTTATGTCTGGGAGAAAGCTGTCCCCCAGCTCTCGCCTTAATGCCAGACACTTCCTCCCCGTGTGCCACTGGTGCCTTTCAAGTTACTACCTTGAGAGAGTGAGTGTGAGTAAGTCTGTGTTGTGGGTTCTTTAAAAGGAACTGCTTGACTACTCCAGAAATTTCTTCTATTGACTCAGTCCCCACTGGTTTCTGCAGTCAGAAGTTATGGGGACTTATATTCATGGCACTGGTACCCTGGGCTAAGGGACCTGGGGGACCTGGTATAGGACAGGACTCCTTGCTCCCTAGATATTCCTCCTGAATTTTTAGAGTACTTTTTTTCTTAAAGATTTTACTTACTTTTCAGACAGAGAGAAGGGGAGGGAGGGAGAAAGAGAGGAAGAGGAACATCAGTGTGTGGTTGCCTCTCACACGTTACCACGGGGGACCTGGCCTGCAACCCAAGCATGTGACCTGACTGGGAATCGAAACAGCAACACTTTGGTTCTCGGAACAGCACTCAATCCACTGAGCCACACCAGCCAGGGCTTAGAGTACCTTTAATCGAACAGTACTTCAAAAACAATTGTTTCTTGGCAGGGATAATATAGCATTATTATCTCATTATACTGCATTAAAACTTTTTAATTAGTGGTAGTTGGGGAGTAAGTAGGGCAAGGGAGAGTAATGGGGACAACTAATTGAACAATTAAGAAAATTAAAAAATTTAAAAATAAAATAATTTAAATCATAATTGAAAATCCCAGCTGAGTTAAGAGTAAATTTCCAGTATCTTGTTCTTTACAACAGAGATGATAGGCTATGTTTCCCTCACAGTGTTATTGTGGAGATTGAATGGGTACACATTTAGATCAAATAATGTTAAGGCCATAAATATTTTGACACAGACTTAAAAAAATGTCATGAAATGGTTTCAGCTTTTAAGAAACATTACCAAATAACATGTGAAGTAGCCATTCACTGATTCTGAGACTCTATCGCTGACCTAATCTCTCAGCCTTTCTCCATTCTTCATCCTGTTCCTGACTCAATTCTCCCTTCAATGTATGTTTGAAGTTGGGAGAAGCAGCTCAGCGCTGAAAGAGGTAAAGGGTGGTTGTTGAGGATGTTGCATTGCTTGTCAACAGGAAAAAATAAGGTATTTGACTTTTTTTTGCCATTTGGACTGGAATTGACTATGTTAAATGGACATGAAATGTAGGAACATTTTATGTTTCTGATCACATGAGCTGTGGAGTACTGAGTAAATGTAAGGCATGGATTAGTTTACATTCCTCAGTCTTAAGCATGTTTTTGCTGAATTTAGTATGGGCCTATGAGAGGAGTATTCCTAAGTTTTACTTATTCACTCACTCATGTAACAGATGTTTATTGAGCAATTGAAATGTACCAGGTATTGAGATAATTTCTGGGTTTACAAAGACAACTAAGATATGATTACTGGTCTGATAGAGAGAAAAGATTATGATTATAACAATAACAACCACAACTATTTACTAAATAGGTTTTCTGTGCTACACTCGTATCTCATTTAAATATAAGTGAACAAATAAGCACAAGAATGTGTTACGGGTTCCCTGTTGTATGTGCAGAGTTGAGGTTGGGTGCAAAAATTAAACGAACGGTCAGGAAAGGTTTCAAAGAAAAGATACCTCTTTTCTGAATAATGAAAAGATTAAAAGATTTGATTATTGTATGCACACTATAATAAGCACATGATAAATGTTGAATAATATAAAAAGATATGTTGTAATTGTAAGAGTCATCGACACAGATCAAATGACCATAAAATAGACAACACGTGTGCCCAGCGAGTTGAAGCTGCTTGCGTAGGCATCGGCACGCTCGTGGATTGATTGTCATTTGCTTATTCATTAGTGAAGATACCTTTTGAGCTGAAACTTAAAGACTTACTGGAAAGATGTTGTTATTTATTATAGAAAATACTGTTATATTAATTATTATTGCCTATTTGAAAAAATATAGAATGTTTCACAAATTTGCAGGTCATCCTTGTGCAGGGGCCATGCTAATCTTCTCTGTATCATTCCAATTTTAGTACATGTGCTGCTGAAGTGAGCACTACTGTACATTTTATTATTACAAGATTTCAAACACCAAAGTAGAGAATATATTGAAATGTACTCCCATGAATTCATTACCCAACTTCAAAAATCATTAACGCATGTGACCATTCTTTTCATTTTATATTTCCAACTACTTTGCACTCCCAGTGGATTATTTACCCATAAAAATCCCAAATTTCTTATCACTTCATAAGTATGTCAGCATGTTTACCTAGAAGATAAGGATTCTTTTTCCCCAACATTACTGGAATACCTTTATCATACCTCATAATAATAATACTACCTTAGTATCATCAAATGTCCAGTCAGAGTTTAAATTTCCTCACTTGCATTACAAATATTTTTACAGTTGGTTTGCTTGGTCCAGAACCCACAGAAGGCTGGGCATTGCATTCTGTGGCATCTGAAAGACACATACGGTGTAAGACTGGGAAGGTAGATGCTGCCAGGTTTTCTTTGACTTCCCCAGACAATTTACTTCCTTCCTCAGAGTACTGTGAACACTCCCAATATAGCATGTATCCTATTGTACTTTTTGTACACGCTTCTTTTCTTCTTATTTCAGAAGTAATAAATATATATCAAAGGAAAAATTCTGAAAATACAGTTGGGCAAAAAGGAAAACAGTCGTCTGATAGAGATAATCACTGCTAACTTTTGGTATATTCACTTTTGGTGCATTTTTTTCCTAAAAATATTTTGTACATGTATCTACAAAATTGTATCTCTGACTATAATTATCTGCTTACACATCTAGCTATCTATCCTGCTAAACTGTGAACTTCTCCAGGGAAAGAATCTTGTGTTACTCATCTTTCATTTTTCAGCCATTCTTACAGCATCTGGAAATAAATCCATTTGCTTAGCTCAGTGGAGTGACAGGAGTGCCTGTTTACCTTTGGTCTTCAAATACTGTGATTATTACGGCTGTGCCACAGTGGAGGATCATCACAGTCTTGCAGCGGCAGGAGCTGCCAGCTTCTTAAAGAACTATTAGCCACTCTGCCACTGTGATTCTCCATGGGATACCTTGTTAGCAGGGCTCAGTCCTTTACATACGTATCTTTGCTAAGAAGCCATGTTTTTAAGAAGGTGGAGTGTCTCAGTTTGTCCTTTCCTAGGAAGCAGACCCCGAAGTGGAGCTTAGTATGCAGGGAGTTTATGAGGGTATGCTCTTGAATAAACAACTATGGAAGGGAAAGACTGGGAAAGATGCAGGATTTGGCAGAGAAAGAAGTTAAGCTGCAACATTGTTTCAACGGAAGCTTTAGCCAATCTATTCTGAGTAGAAGCTAGAAGCCTAGGCCTTTATACTCTTGCATAGATCAGTCATTGGATGGAGGTCTTCCCAGGTAAGAGTCATAACCATGGATGAAGTCATTCTTTTCAGCAGCTGGGGAAACATGTTCTTCCCTCCTGAAGTGAGATCTGAGCAGCACCTCCCAAAGTTTAGCACACACACCCTGACCCCCTTGTTTGAAGTTGTAACCCCTGCACCTGCACTCCCCTCCTCTCCCCTGCCTTATGTTTATTTCTCCATTGCACTCAACACCTAATATAACATACCATTCACCTACTGATTTTATTTTTATCTTTCTCCCCAATTAGACTGTGAGATTTTTTTACCAAATGTATATTCTCATTTTGTTCATATCGCGGTTAAATATTAACATCTTACGTCAGGGCACAGGTACTCCTGATTGACTCACTTTTATTTGCTCTCTCTGATGTCACTGTCACTGTCACTCTCTCTGTCACAGGTCAACGCAGGTTAGATTGTGAGGTTTTTGTAGACAGCAACTTTTGTCTATATCCCTTTTTATTGCTGTATTTTGAGCATCTAGAATAGTGTCTGACATAGAGTAAGTGCTCAACACATATTGATACCTGGGGTATGCCTTAAAATGCCCCAGAAAAATATATATAGTTACATAAAAGGAAAAATAGAATTGTCCATTAGTCGATAATTATTGAACCTGGGTAATGAGTACTCAGAAATTCAATATGTTATCCTCTCAAATTTTATATGTAATTAAAAATTTTCATAATAAAAAGTTTTAAAAATTTGTGTTTTAAATTTACTGCTCACAAGTGGAGAGAGTAATAAGAGAGACAGTTTTTCTTTTTTGCTCCCAAAGATGTTCTGAAAATACAATGACACATCTTCCTCAGCAGCACAGAAAATTAGTATCTTCGCTCAGGGGCTCTGTCTGAAGCCCGTCCTCCAGCCACCTGGTAGGCAGGCTGCTGCCCTGGGGACCCTGAGTGACTCTGCTGCCATGCCCCTGCAGCGTTAATGGTGTAATTCCATTTTTCTTCCCTCAGGAGGCCAATATTTTATAGACACTGGAGAATTAGACCAGCATTTTTTGCTAGACACTGCATAGATGCAATTAGACAAGACTAATGCATTCTGAGAAACTAAACCTCCCCTCTTGTCAGTCATGGAGTGGTGGGTAGGAGGCTGTGTGGGAGTGCTCACCTCTCCCCAAAGTGGAGGTCAAGTTGACCCACGGGGTGGGGTAGAGAGGATGGGGAGCGGTTACTTCTTCTCTGCTGCCTTTTCCCCAAACAAATCCCCAAGAAAGGCCCTGCCTGGTATGGCTTCTGCAACCTCTCTGACCTTATTTCCTCCCCCTCACTCCCAGGCCCCCAGAGCTCTCGCTGCACTGGCTTCTGCTGCTCCCGATGTGGTCAGACCTGCCCTTGTGTTGGCACCTTTGCAGTGAGCTCCTCCCTTGCCTGTAATAGTCTCCACATGGCTCATCCCCTCACCTTCTCCAAGCCTTAGCTCAAGTGTCACCTTCTTGGTGATGAATGATTTAAAACTGCACCCACTTCTACCACCCCCCGCACTCACCACCCCCATTACCTTGCTGTACTTCTTTATTATTCTTTGCCTCTTATCTCTTTCAAGTATATGACTTGTTGCTCTTTTTCTCCTGAGTGCCTACAGTAATGCCTGGGACACAAACAGTAATTGAAAAAGTGGAATAATAAATAGAGCTCAGACTGCTGTGTTTCTCAGTGTCCACATGTTAAGATTCTAAAAGTCAGTCCTGGTTTTAACTGTTACTGTCAAATTTCTGTTTTCCTTTCTCTTGCCCTAAACCTCCATTTCTCCAGTTCATAGTTTAAAACAACCAGGGTGATCTTTTAAAAATATGTCTGATCACAGGTAAGGATGGAGGTTGGGGGAAGTCACGTGGAAGATGCAGCACCCTGGGCCTAGCCACAGCTGGGAGCAATTTTACCAACCAAGGCTAGAAGGCTGCTGACAGGGACTGCAGCCTTCAGTAGAGGATGCAGCCGAGAAAATATTGGGATGGCCAAAAAGTCCGTATAGTTTTTTCCTTATAATAAAATATACATTTATCATATTCACCAATAACTTCATTGATTTGGATATTTTGAGTATGCCAGTTATCTCCCATGTGGTATAATGTTAATTATTCTCAATTAATGTCTTGATTTGATCGCTATCAGCTTCAACTGGTCTACCCAACTGCTGAACATCCTCCAGAGAGAAACCCCCAGCACAAAACTTTGCAAACCACTTTTGACACGTTCCATCAGTCACAGCATCTTCTCCATACACTGCACAATATTTTTGTGTGTTTCTGTTGCATTTTTACCTTTCTTGAAATAAGGCATAATATGCTGAAAATGTTGCATATTTTCTTCCATTTTCAATATTAAAATACCTACACAAAAATCCACCAAATTTGATAAGTTTTTAAAAATGCACACAGATATGACAGCTGTCACAATACAATTTAGCAAAGTTGTTTTGAATGAAGTTCAAGACAACTAAGCACTACCAGAACCATCTTATGGGAAAACAAAACAAAACAAATTTTTTGTCCAACCCAACATATCTATTGTCCATGTCCTTGAGTCATTTTTCCTTTTTGCTCAATGTCTGGTGATTTCGGGGGTAGAAGGAGGAGGGTATAAAGGGGACAAATGGTAATGGAAAAATATACAATAAAAAATAAATTTTTTAAAAATCTAAAAAAATAAAAAGCTCCTGACTCCACTCTCCTCCCTTCTCATCTCCTACCAGTGCCACCCTGTGGCTGAATTCGACCAGAAATCAGAGGGCAAGGGAGCAACTGACGCCGTCCTTGGGAGTCAGCCTTCTGGGGCACAGGGTGGGTAGACAATGGATCTGGAGGGAAGGGGGAAATTAAAGATACCACTTTTTACCTCCTTTCATGCTGTTTCTATCATTCCTAAAATATGACAAGCTTTCCCTCAACTGGGACTTTTTTAGCTGCTGTCATCCTGGTAAATGACCCTTCCTCAAACAGGCCTTCCCTGGTCAATGTCCTTGTGGAAATCAGCTATAACTGGGGTTCAAAATACACACACACACACACACACACACACACACACACACACAGAATTATCTGAAGATTTTTTTTCAAGAGATATTTGAATAAATTAAGGAATATAAATAATTTTTAGCAATTCTGAATTCCATGAGAAAGGCCAGTTGTTGTTAAGTTCTACAGTGTGTGACAAAAATGAAAACCCAAATATTATTGAATTTTGTATTGCATTTCACAGAACATTGTTCTTTTACAAATAAAATTTCAAATATGTAACTAAATATTTAATTTCTATACCCCTGTATAAATTTTCATGCACATAAATTCACAAATCAGGAAAAATCCTTTATTATATTACAATTCATACACTGACAAAATATGACAGTTTTAACCATCTAAAAAAGTTAGAATGATTATACTCTTTTCCAATGTATAGAGGAAAAGGAAGGAGGGAGAAAGGGAGAGAAGCATGGATCGGTTGCCTCTCGTGTGCCCTCAGATTGCAGGAAGACACCCAACCCACTGAGCCACACCAGTCAGGGCAGAAGCATTACATTCTTGAAATTTCAGGAGAGGTCGACAGACAGCAGTAGGAAAAAAGGAAGTTGTTCTGAATTTCCTGATGTGCTAATCTGGTAGTGTTCCATTGTCCAGTTGCCTCTCTGGTCCCCTCCACTCAAAGATGTTCATTTCATTTTTGGTGTTTCTTATCATTCAGATGATCTGGAAAGCAGAAGTACCTCATCAGATTCTCTCAACAGTTAGTGGCAAATGAAAAATAAATGGCTCTTTTATGTTCTTTTGTTCAAGTCATAGTTCTACTACTCAAAGACAGATTTACTGTGAAGCCAACGGAACATCTCAAGCTTGTAGGAGCCTCTTTCAAGGCCCGGAGAAAAGCCCTAGCTCTTTTGTTCACGTCGCCATATGCGTTTGTAAAACTTGAAACAAGTGTTTAAACTACAACTGGTTAAGACCTTTGTCCTTGCACTCCCAAATTCGTACCAAACTTTCTCTCATGCTGAATGTTAAATGAATGGCCATGGCCATTTCTGGAAGTCAGATACAATTGAGTTAGTGATACACTGGGTTTAGTGGGATGTTTTAAATGATCCATAGTCACTCCCGTGTAAAGTTATTGCTAGTCTTCCTGATTCCAGTGGATCCCAAGAACACACCTACTGCCAGCTGTGCCAGTGGATCTGGCATTTCAGAATGAAGGTCGAGAAATAGAGGTCCTATCACAGTATGAATGTGTCCTACAGATTCTGTCAACACAGTATGTCAACAGTGGATGAGACACAAAGTCATCGTTATGATGACATAACTTGGGGATGATCAATACTGATGCAAAGTACAACATGAAGAGCGTGCAAATGCACTAAATACTTTGACTGAGCCCTGAGTGGTGTGGATCAGTTGGTTAGGCATCATCTGGCAAAGCAAGGATTGCCTGTTCAATCCCCAGTCAGGGCATGCCTGCGTTTCAGGTTTGGTCTGCAGGAGGGGCACATATGAAAAGCAACCAGTCAATATTTCTCTCTCAATCGATCTTTCTCTCTCTGTCCCCTCCTCTCTCTAAAGTCAACAAACATATTTAAAAAAATTTTTAAAAGACATAGAAAGGTTGAAAGTAAAAAGAACTATACTGAGCCAGAGTTGGCATGTAGAAGTGTAAAGTTATAAATGGAAGATTCAGTTCTCCATGCTTAGTCAAAATGATAGCTCTCTCTTTTTAGTAATATACTTGATAATGCTGCATAAATAGTTTTACTTATTTATTTTTTTAAGATTTTATTTCTCTTTAGAGGGGAAGGGAAGGAGAGAGGGAGAGAAATATCAATGTATGATTGCCTCTTATGTGTCTGTGGGGAACTGGCCTGCAACCCAGGCATGTGCCCTAACTGGGAATTGAACCACAGTCCTTTGGTTTGCAGGCCCACGCTCAATCCACTGAACTACACCAGCCAGGGCCATAAACAGTTTTAAATACATACTTTTTATTACCACACAATAGATTTTATGACAATGCCCGTGTTTATGGACATAAAATAAATCTGTAATAGTCCTGTGTGTGTGTGTGTGTGTGTGTGTGTAAATGTATGTTTCAAGATCCCAACAATCCAAAATAAAAAACAAGCTTTGATCATCATGCCACTGGAAAGATTGGCTATGGAAATTGATACTAAATAAACCAATGTCATGTGAAAAGCTTGCAGCCCAAAAATATGGAGAAGAAAGATAGTATATTGGTATGTCACTCAGTTAATAAAAATGTTATGTATTTTTAAAAATTTTATAGTGTTTCTGGTATTTGTCAGCTTTCCAAAATCTGTAATTTGTCATAATTTTTTGCTCATCCAAGTAAATATTGACCTTTGGGTATATACAAATACCACAATTTAGTATTTTTGTTTCTTTTTTTAAAAGAGGGGCTCAAAAATTGTTAAGCTTCAGGCACCCCTCCTGCCAAAACACTGGTTTCTTCTCTGCCCATATGTCTATGAATGAACTGTAGATAATAAATTAAAGGCAGACCATTTGTTTTGTTTAAAATATGCAGTTGAACAGCTGTCACAGCTGCATAGGCTGCATCACCCTGAGCACTGAGCTCAGCACAGTTCCTCTGAGAGGGTGAGTCTCTCACCCATCCCTTCAGAAAAACATTCAGTCTTTCATGTAGACTTGCAAATGTGAAGTTCTTTGCACTGATTGATGAAGCCATGCCCAGAGCCTCTTCCTAGAATTCTCGGTTATATTGTTACTCATCAAATCGGTGAGGGCAAACAGTGAACGGCGACGGCGGTGCAGCAGGTTGCTTCTCTGTACTCATACTTAGAATGCCTACCGAAGTTGAGGAGGTTCATGTTACCTCACTCTTATTTGCCCCAAACTGGTTTTCACATTGTTAAGTGTGACAGTCTTGGAAACAGAAAACCCATTTTTAAAGCACAGAAATTCTTCCTTTTAATTAAGTATTTATTTATTTAGTTTATTTTTTAGAGAGAGGGGAAGAGAGGGAGAAACAGAGGGATAGAAACATTGATGTGTGAGAGAAACAGCAATTGGCTGCTTCTTGCATGACCCCAACTGGGGACCTGGCCTGCAACCCAGGCATGTGCCCTAACCAGAAATCTAACCAGCAATCTTTCAGTTCATAGGCTGGCACTCAACTCACTGAGTCACACCAGCCAGGGCAATTCTTCCTTTTTATTTTAAAAAATGTTTTAAAAGATTTTATTTATTTATTTTTTGACAGAGAGGAAGGGAGGAAGAAAGAGAGGGAGAGAAGCATCACTATGCAGCCGCCTGTCAGGAACCCTCTACTGGGGACCTGGCCCACAACCCAGGCATGTGCTCCAGACTGGGAATCGAACTGGTGACCCTTTGATTCTCAGGCAGGCACTCAACCACTGAGCCACACTAACCAGGGCCAATTCTTCCTTTTTAAAATAAAACACAGAACCCCTAGTATTCAGCATTAGAAGATCAATCTGTAGGTTGGCAGGAGACCTGAGTAGACACAGTGGGCCTAACTCTGCTCTTTACATTTCAGATTTCTCTGGGATTCTCATTTTTAGAGGCCCGACTTCCTTCTGAAAGCTTTACATGTGAACAAGAACCCCTGTGTGTTTTGGTTAAAAATTAGCAGCATGGGCACTGGAATGAGAAACATGGAGACCTGATTCTACCACTCACTGACTGGGAGACCATTGGCAGAGTTCTGAAACTCTCTACCCCTCCATTCATTCAGTATTCTAGCAAAGGGTTGTTTATATTTGCATTTACATGTTTATATCAATGAGCAAATACTGGAAATAGGCTACACAAGACAGATGAGGCTTGTGCCTGAATGATGCTGCCACTTTCGGGGTGACACAAATAATAACTCAGAAATAAATGTAGAGAAGACTGGTGCCTTCTTCTCTTCTTCTCAGCCCCCAGTAAACCTTCTGCACACAGCTCTACACTAGAGTCTGTTTTCAGAGAATGGGAATGAACACAATGAAATATACAAGAGCGATAACTATAGATTGTGGTAGGTGAAGGAGCTCACTTAAGTGTATGTGTCTGGGAAAACTCTGGGGGCTGGGGTTGAACCAGGAGGGTTAACTCAAACCGTGGCTCATGTATATGTGAGCCAAGGAGGAGAAATGAAATCCCAAGGGAAATAGGGTGATGTCATAGAGAACGGGAAAAACAACTTTAGGATAATCGCTGGTAACCACCTCTCCTAGAAATAAATATTCTTAACATTTTAATATATTTTATTTCACTATATTAATTTTCAATATGATTAATGCTAGGAGAAAATAGGAGTTAATTTATGTACAGTTTGATTACAACTATAAAAATATACTTAGAGAAAGAAGGACTAGAGAGGAATATAATAATATGCTAACAGGTTACATGAATAAAAATATGTGACTTCTTTTCTCTACTTCAAAAAAATGTCTGCAACCTAGCAGTTTAGTGAGGAGAATTAACGTAAGCTTTTAAAAAGAACCTATTTGTTGAAGCAATCCTCAAAGAAAAGTTCTAGAATTACCATACCAGTGTACTGACCTCGTAAGGATCTGCCAAAACAATCCTTCCTCTTTCCGTTCATGTGACTTTGGACATCACTTTATAGGATTGGGTTTACACGGAAAGTACTCTTGAAATAACAGAAGCTACTTATTTCCTCCCTGACATTCTATAACAGAAGGTACTTATTTCTTCCCCATGGCCTGTGCAACATTAAGGAAATACCGCCACCAAGTGGGTGGTAGAATTTAGTTTGGGTTCCTGTTGCTTTAATTCTATGTAGGAAGTCGGAATAAGATAGACCAGACAAAGGGTGTGTGTGTCTAGGGAAACTCCGGGGGTTTGGGTTGAACCGGGAGGATTAACACAGAGGGTCACTCAAGTCTGTGTGAGCCAGGGAGGAAAGATGAAACCCCAGCTAGGAGGGATGGTAAGGCAAAAATCTTCAAATGACTGAACTGTGTATCTAGCATACTGAGCAATATGTCCCAAGTAATCATGGATATGCAAAGAGTTAATGTGATATTTATCACGTATTTTTTGGCAACAAGAAAAACAAGAATATGAATGCCAATTACTGAGGATTAATTGAATAAATAATGATACATCTCTACAATTAATTACTCTTTGACTTTTAAAGTGATACTAAAAATGTGTAGTGACAAAGAATAATGTTTATCATATGTAGTTGACCCTTGAAGGTTAGGGGTGCTAACCCTGCACAGTCAAAAATTCATACATAACTTATGATTCCCCAAAGACTCAACGGTGGTATTTGAGGGGGATTGGTTACAGGACCCCCTGCGGATACCGAAATCCCTGGATGCTCAGGTCCCTTATATGTGGTGTGGGAAATGCATGCAGTCAGGCCTCTGTATCCTAGAGTTCCCAAGAGTGGACCAAAAATACTGTTTCAATAGGTCACTGATTGACTTCTCTGATGTGGAACCCAGGAATATAGTGGGCAGACTATATTTACTGAAAAAAAATCTACATATAAGTAGACCTGTGCAGTTTAAACCCATGTTATTCAATGGTCAAATGCATTTTTAGTGAATAATGCAGGTCACAAAATAGGATGTATCATACACAGCTAAAACACTGCAAGGATATACATCAAAATGCTAATAATAACTATAATAATTTATATATATATGTTTAGTGCTTACTATAATACATTCCAGGCAGATTAAAAGAGTTATCTTGGGCCTACCTGCTCCTCTCTTCTCCGATTTAATCCTTCTCATGTTTCCCTCTCCTTCCATTACTAGCTCTCTTGGGTCCTGGACCTCATTAGCAGGCTGGTCATGCATATGGAGTCCAGAAGGATGTCTCTAAATCATTAAATAAAACACACTGCACTAAACGGGAAAAAATTACAGTGAAAAAGAGTCATTAAAATAACTCAAAAACAAATTGTTAAATAGTAATATGTATGTATAGTACAGATATATTGTATGTAATATCTTTCTACATACTTTATTAATGCATTGAATAAAATATAGTAGAAAGTATAGTAATAATTTCTGAGTAGAGGTATTAATAAAAACTATTTCAAGATAATTGCAACAATTGTGATGTATGAAAATATTTGTGATTTCTGTTGCTGACAAAGTCAGTGTGTTTCATCAGTTGTATTCACAATTTAAGTAGATTTTAAATTGCAGTGGTAACATAGTGACAATCAACATGTATTTGTTCCTACCTGTAAGATATAGGCAGAGAGCTCCTGCCCTTCAGTCTATTTTGCAGCAGCTGTCACATCATGTCATTCCCTTCTCAAAACCCTTAAAGGGCTTTCTATCTTGCTTAAAATCCTTGCCCCGAGATCTGCCCTGTAGTGTCCTTGCCATTCTCACTTCCCACGGTTTCCTTCCTCCCGGTACCCTCCTTGTTCACTGCCCTCCAGCCACGCTGCCTTCTGTGCAGTTCCTTGAAGACAAGCCAACCACAGCCCTGACTGTGGCTCTTGCCATTCTCTTTCCCAGAACATTCTTCCCTTGGACATTGACAGGACCTGCTGCTTTATGTCAGAGGTGGATATTTTCCATAAAGGGACAGATGGTAAATATTTCAGGTTTTGGGGGCCATGTCATCTCTGTAGCAACTCTGCTGCAATAGTGCCAAAGCAACCATAGACAACATATAAATGAATGGGTGTGGACGTGTTTCAATAAATCTTTATTTCTGGACACTGAAATGTTGAATTGTATATAATTTTCACAGGTTATGAAATCATTATCTTTCTCGTTTTGTTTTTGTATTTTGATTATGTTATCTCCCTCATCAGCTAACCTAGCCATCTACAAATCTGACAACTTTTATGTCTTCTTCCAAACCTTTCAGAGTAAGTCAGGGATGGGGGCTGACTCCATATGACTCTGCCAGGTAGCTGGAGCACCTCAGCTCACCCTTGGGAAATAAATCCTGTAGGTGGGGCTTTAGGTGAGGGTAACAGAGAAGTCCTCCACAGTAGAAATGGGAGTGAAGGGAAGGGGGACTTCAGATACTTCAACTAAATATCAACAGCTGAGACAGTCAAAGCACATTCTTAAAGAGAGAAATGCCTACTATTGATAGTAATATGTCTAAAGAGAAGATGTGTCCATTATAAGACACAAAGGAGAATCCACGAGGCAAATATGGGCCTTACCCAGCCTTATGTCAAGCTTCCTGATGGAATATCTCTTTTGAGAGCTGGCTAATTGAATCTAACAAACTCCCTTTGTTCTGATTCCAGACTCATACCAATTCTTTCTGAAGACTCAGTTTCCCATGTAGGGAATCCACAGGGAGAGTATGGGCTGGTCAGGTTGACTCTACTGTCTGGGCCACCAGCCTGTCACATTTCTCAGTGAAGGTGAATAAAATGATGTCTGTCCCAACAGAGTATGGAATGTGTTCATCAAAAACGTATATAAACTAGTGAATTCATATATTGCAGTACTTCTTAGCAGGAAAAATATAACAAACAAAAGTCCCTGCCTTTCAGAAACCCTGGATTCAGCAGTGAGGACCGGACCTTGTTGAAGAAGACTGGAATTAAGCATTCCAATCACATGCTATGTTCAGTGAAGTTCTGTGACGGTGTTTGCTTGAGAGGGCTCAGTCATATGGATGCCATTTCTGCTGATGTAATTGAGAGAAGGGAACCAGATCATAGCTTCATTATAAATTCCTATTGAAGTCTCCAAACATACAAACAAAAGGAGATGCCATTTTTTGAACACTTGGTTCATAATAAATGTTCAATAAATTATCTTTTGATTACTTTCATCAGCACTCTCACTAGGCTTTCTAGTGTCTCCTTAGTGATACAGATGCATTGGTTAGGTGAAATTTAATACTTGTTTTGTTATTATTATTAAATTTGACCTGAAGCCCTTAACATAGCACTTATTCTGTGCTAGGCAGTGTCCTAGGTATTTTATACGTGTTAATTTATTTAATTATTACGATAACTCATCAGATAGGTGCTACTATTACCCCCATTTCACAGGCTAGAAAACTGGAGTGTGGCATGGTTTATTTGCTCAGGATCAAGTAATTGGCAAATCACAGATCTGGTTTTGAACCTAACATATTTCACTAGTCTCTGCATTACTTGTCTGCCACTTGGGGTTGTGTTCATTAGAAATACCAGGGAAACCTTCATCAGCCTATTAACTCAGAACCTCTAGGAGTAGGACCCATAATCTGAGATCTTAACAGGTTTTCCAGGTGATACTTCTCCAATGAGCCCAGCATCAGCCAATGGGCTGACACGAAGGAACCAGAGCCCTGGTTCCTCTTGCTTCTTTGTGCCACTGTTGCTCAGGCAACTATCACGGCATAGTTGTTGCCTGTGTATGTGCATCACTTCTTTGGAATGGGTGTCAGAAGCTTGGTGAAAATCCCAGAGACAATAACAAAACACTGTTGTAGAAGTTCTGCGACACTGGTGCCTTTGATAGTACAGAGAATGATATGGTATGCAAACACCCAGCACTGACAATTCTAACTCAAAGAGTGATTCAGAAGAGTTGAAGTCTGAGTAAAAATGAGTTTTAGGAAATTCTCACCAATTAATTTTGCTTATATTTTCTTTTCTTTTTTAATGTATGCCCAAAAGAGAGAAATTTGATAAAAATCAAAAGATCTTTCAGTAGATTTAAATATCCTTAGTAATAAGTAAGGAATGTGTCATAGTTTCATTGGCAGTTTTTGTCCTTTCCTTGTGGTCTATAAAATAATGATACTCTTAGAATCAGTGGCATCTTAGATGAGATGAAATACAAAAGAAGTGTGTCTAATCTTTTAGAATTACCCTTTGGTTCCTGATAAATGAATGAGACATCTAAATTCCTTCTCAGGAGACTTGGATTCTCACTTCTAAAACAAACCAGAATAGCAAATGACAAAGAGAAAAGAAATGCTGTAAACCCAGAAGGGTAGGTAGCAGACACTAGAATATTCCTTCATCTCCACCCCTTTCTTCTACATACTTTCAATTTGGTTGAGGTGTTTGAGATGGGGCTGGAACAGGGGAAGTTGAAGGTGGGAATAACACAGGCATACCTCAGAGATATTGTGGGTTTGGTTCCAGACCACTGCAATAAATACGAGTCATAATGTTGCTGGTGGAAGGTCTTGCCTTCAATTTGTTTAAAACAAACAAACAAACAAACAAACCCTGCAACATCTGTGAACCACAATAAAATGAAGCTCCATGAAACAAGGTATGCCTGTAACTTGGTCTTCCACCCACCATGATTCAGCTGAGGGTATCTGTGTCCCAATTTTCTATTCTCAGCTCTGAGAAGATTCTGACTGGCTCAGCCAGCTTACATGCTGGTTCTCATTCGAACAGGTATATAACCTTGATCCAACCTGCTGCTGCAAGCCTTAGCGGGAGTCAGATGGGACAAACATGGTCAGTTAAGCTTCCCCCTTAAGCAGAAAAGGTAGATGGAGGCAATTTCAAAGAAGGGAGCGTGATTTGGATCGGTAAGCCCAAATATGTCTATTACGTTTGTCATAATTAAATACTAATCTGTAGTTCTTAATACCATTATCATAGTGTTTGTGACTGTGTGGTTTTTAAATTTTTTCCTACTTCATTGGATTCTTAGCTCCTAGAGGGCAAGATTTTAGCAGTGTGTGACCTCAACGTGCTGTTTCCTTATGTACACAAAGGGGTTCATACAAGCATCTAGGCAGTTAGGTGGTGGCAAGCATTAAACAGAATGTGCTCAGTAAATATTACTATAAATATTCTTATCTCAGCTTCTTCAGTCTCCTTGTTCTCCACATACCAATAATGAGTGGCTGTCATTTTTGTGTGTGTGTGTGTGTGTGTATATAGTTGAATTAAATTCTTAGTAGGTATGTTATGAGTGGCTTTTGACTTAGGGTTATGTGGAATAGCTTCTCTCCTAAGGATAACTCTAATTGTTTCCTCTCTCCCAATTCTCTCACTGTTCCCCAATGATGTCACAGATTAATCTTTCTAAGTCACAGCTGTTATATATTGTATAATGATTATTTGTTTACATACCTTTGATAGGTCCCTGAGGTCAAAGAAGATATTTTTCTGCCTGGCATGAAGGAGCTCAATATTAAGCCACATCTGCAGATTCAGATTTGAGCTCAAGTTCTAGCAGAACTATACACAGATATCCAAGTTATAAAGTGTGAAGAAATACTGTCCTAGACTTGGAAATGGGCAAAATAAGTTATTGGATGTACTTTCAGTAGATTGTTGGGCATTGGCTACAGGAAATTTATGGATTATCTGATTCTCTTTGATTGATTGTTAGGCTATTTTAAAGTCCTATAGGAGTAGAAGTTAAACTTTAGAAAACTGATGGAAATACAAATAATTCATGTTCATAACAATGCAAATAAGCTTTGTCAGGTAAAGGACATGAATCTCTGTAAGTCAAATTCTTATTTGAACGAGTTTTAACATCTCACTGGTTTTTCAATTAATTAACGAGTTGAATAAACTCTGTAACATGATTTTATTTTATATTTGCATGGGAGTATCTGCCACTTTTCACTCTTTGAAAAAGTACACTTTAATAGAAATTGGAAATATAAGATGGGATCAATTTAGTTGATATCATGGGAGAGGGATGATTTCACTTAGGAGGTGATTTTTAAAGCTGAGATTTAAACACAGAGTTCAATGGAGAAAGGGAAGAAAAACTACAGTGTCTGCTTATTTGCCCGCCCCCCCCCCCCACTGCTTAAAGGCATATATATAAGTCTTAGAACTACCACTGGCTCCGTACCTACTGCTTTTCAAAGGTGGTGAGATCTCAAGGGTACAGTGTCTGACACTGCTGTAGGATGATGGAAGTCATTGTCAGCTCCAAGA